AGTAGACGGCCTGCATCCAGTGATCCCGCCAAGCCGTCGTCTCACCCGCCCATGAAGGGGCAGTCGAGATCGGTGCTACCGTTCCCGACGGCTCCATCTGCACCTCCCACCAAACAACTAAGGCGTGTGCAGTCCCGTCCATTCTTGCCTTTCCTGAAGTTAAAAGTAGAGATGTTGGTGAGAGCAGACTTGGGCGCGGGCCTGAAACAATTTAGTGCTAATCGTTCACTTCACGGCGGAAAACTTGATAGAAGTAGTTTTTTTACGCCCATCAACTGAGGGGCCCTATACGAATATGTCTGTGGCCATATGTGTTAAAATTACCTAAGCAAAAGCATGTTCTATACGCTTGCGGCAATTTTCGTTTCGATACCAGGTAGCCAGCTTAGTGCACTTCGCTTCCGCCAAGTCAACGGCAAAGCCTAGAGTTTGGGACACAGACGCGGAAGTGGCGACCGTCTTTGAGAAGCTCTCAAGCGTTTCCTCACTCTTGGAAGTGACGCGAGCAAGGCTGACCGGGTGACAGAATTGAGTTTCGTTCCCGAACCGCTGAGTCACTGTAAGGACAGTTAACCGAAGATCATTTTAACAGGAGTTGGCTCTGAAATACGGCTAAAAAGAAGAAGTAACCACACTAGTTCCTAACGCACGACAGGATGCCAGCCCCTGAAATAGCTGAACTACTCTTAAGCAGACTACTTGAAATGAGACTTACACAGGCAGAAGGCGCCACCGGATGGAATTGGGATGCTGAGTTCCCGCTTTCGCGCCGGGAATACGACTACTAACTGTTTGGTTAACCTCATTTTCCACAGTCTACTATTACAGCGACCCCTTAATTACTTGAAATCCTACAGAGTGTGCTACAATCAGACATTATTGGAGCAATGGGATAGCCTTATGTGAAAATTTTCTACCGTAAAGATGCATGTTTAGACACCTTGGACAGGACGGCAAGAACTTGTTATTTTGGTTCGTGAAATTTTCATTTTTTATCCGCAGTACTCGAAAAGCGGGGGCTAAGCTAAGTATTTTTCTGTTTGGCTTATTCGTTTTGTCTAGAACCCCTGCGGTTATCATATAACGACGAAAAATTGCTAATAGGAAAGTATTACTGACAGTGGCGAAGAACTATTATCTCGAGCTTAGTTGTACAGAAGGCAAAAACCCGCTTGCCGAGTTAAGTCTTGTAGTGGAAGAATTCATCCTTTAATACGCCTATTCGGGGGAATGGATACAGAGTTTGATCGCTCATTTCAACTCTCCTAGATGGTTACATGTTAAAAGGCTACGTTTAGGGCCAGCGGACAAAAGCTAACGGATGAGAATTGGCTTTTGACAGTGACACGAGGCAAAAACACCCAGGCAGTTAATTTTGACCTTAAAACCACCTAATGTGTTGCAAATCGAACAGACTACCTGATGCGCATAATTGAGCCTCAGTGATCTTCCGGTAGTAATGTTTGTAAACGAGGCAAAAAAACACAATCTCACCAATTATGCGCTTAGAATCGTGTAACCTTATATTTGAGGAAGGCGGCGAGAATGGAAACTCGTGAAACTGTACAGGTTTGTCGAGCAGGCACCTCACGTATCCTCTCCCCCTCTGATGCCCATTTTGTTCAGCTCCATCTAGACTATGCAGCTGGGAGACCTGAATATCAAAGACCGATGGACAACCAGAACAGTCCTGTATTGATTGTGTGGGAAAGATGGAAGTCTGGGGATGCGGTAGACCTGATCCCTGGGCCGGAAGCGGGCATATTTTGTGATGCGACCAAAGAAATGGCGAGTCCACAACCTTTGAAGATTAAAGAGCACAAGTTAGGACAAAATTAACCACAAGCATGTCCATATCGGCAAGTAACACCTTACTTGCATGAACATACGGGCCTTGCATGGAATCAAAACGGCATCTGGAGTCAGTAGGTGCTCGGCAGCATGCTTGTACGTCTCCAAGGTCCCCTCGCCAATCAATTCGGTGTCAAGGAGTTCGGCCACGAGGACGTTTGCACGTTGTTCCATGTCATGTCCAATCACAAGGTCAGTTGAGCGCTTCCCAATCACACGAATACGATCTTGTAGACCATTGGCATGGATAACCCGTTTCGCACACCTGGCCACAGGAGAGAAGGCCTCACAGGCGGTAACGGTATCTGCGCCTGCTCGGGCCGCCATCATAGAGAGGATGCCTGTGCCCGTGCCAATGTCAAGGACGTGAATCAAGCGTTCGGGTTGTGTGGATTTCATGTGATGTATCACGTGGCAGATGGCCTCATGGTACTTTCGGTTTCGATCCGAATCGTGTAGCATGTCAGCATAGGCGGAACGGGCAATTTCCTGTTCAAAAGCGTAGTCCAGATCAACCAGATTCCATTGCGCAGAGCCAGTAATTGGACTGACTTGACATACAAATGAGCCACTGATGGAATTTCCGTCACCTTGCGCCATTGTGTTAAACACACTAGCACCCCAAACGCGGTATGCAAAACCACTGAAAGGCAAGATAACAGGGGGTCATTAGTATCGAAATAAATAGTGAAAGACGTCGTGTAATAAGGGAAGATTGAAGAAAATCTGAATGGGCTGTCCGTAAAATACAGAGACCGATGCGACGATAGCAAAATGCTATTTGTTCTATTGATTTAGTGCAAGGAAAATTTGAAGAAAATATTGCACCTAAACGTAAGGATTCCAAGATAATTACTAATAAGGAACAATGGAACTGCTTTTTACCTATTCGAATGACTTCATTTTCTCAGATGGTGGCGAAGACTGATTCGAAAATTACGATCAAATTTACAAGCGCGTCCTTCCTAACACAAAAAATTTTAATTTGTGCGAACCGAGACAGCCAATGGTGATTCATTTCACATGCAACCAGTTAAACGGTCTTCAGTTAGCTAGGGAATATATCTTCGGCAACGATAAAAGATGTATAACAGTGGCCTTAAACAGCGTCAAGCCTTCCGCAAGCGCTTACGATACATGGTAGTATCAACTAGGGGAAAAAAAAGGTTCTTCGAGATCGAAATAGCCTGGCTTTAAGCTTGTCAAGACAGCATGCAACAACAAATACTTGTCATGAAAGCAATATTATTTCACCAGTAGCCTCCGAATTAGGCCAAAAAATAATAACCTCGTAGTTTTCGTCAATTTCGACGTCAAATGCACGACTTTCAAAAGCTAGTTTTGCGCATTAGCCTTGTGTCGATACAAGTCGGAGATTTGGCAAGCCAGGGCCCTTGTAAGCCGTCTCGGGCCACTGTACAAACGAATCACCATATGTACCACATTCAAATCCGCGCTCAGCACCTCGAGTGACTAACGCACAAGCCCTGCAAGTTTAGTTTACTTAACAGTTTCCAAGAGAGCCTACTCACATTCCTGCTTGTGGACTAAATTAATTCTTGAAGGTGGGCAAACAATAGCATGAAAAAAAGGGACAAAAACCAGACGGTACCATTGTACATAGCCAAAAAATGGCAGTAGAGCGTGACACAAACGGCATTTTAAAGTATTTTGACATAAGTTCTTAAAACTGCTCGATAATACACACAAAGGTGGTTCTGTAAATAGGTTAGTAGTACTGAGCCTACTATCGCGACACTTAGGGTACTGTGGTTTGGCTTATGACTTGGACACTGGAGTGGAGTTTTATAATTGAGAAGAAAGGCTAGTAGGCACACCATTCTTTCCAAGGAGAGCTTTATAGTGTCCAGCTACTTTACCTTGGCTCTGTGAGGCCTTTGTGGACTGAAGCCGCACAGAAGTTTGTTATCAGAGCCATGGGATTCAAAACTAAACTACTTTCGCCGCTAAAGATCTATCGTCCCTTTGTGTCAGTGTTTGAAGCAGCGTTGGCATTTAATGCTTCAGTTGGTCTGTTTATTTAAGATAAAAATAACCGTGAAGGCACCAGATGGCAAACACCTCGAGATGTCGCCGGCTGCTGAACAAGAAAAGACACATATCGAAAGCATAGAGAAGGGTGATCCTGACAGCAAATAAGCAAACCTATTAATTATGCCGGAATTATAAGTAGAGTTGTCTCGGTGACAACGAAGGACAGATTAGTGGTATATAAATGCTCTCTGCGAAATCCAGCCATTTGGCTGGCAAGCCAAACAATGGTTCCATTATTCAGCCAGCTCCCATCTCCTTCACCAATTAATTATTTTCCTGGTAAATGAAGATTTTTGCTAATCTTTCTCAAATTTAACATCCTTTATGAATCAGTGCTGCCGGCTGTCGAAAAGGAACTTTTCGATTGCTTCTAATAATGAATCAAGTTGTTGAAAAAAAAATTAAGAGAGCTATTAGCGAGCCTTAGAAACACGACCAGCCGGTAATCGCATGAAGTAATATTAAACAGACATGGCTCTGATTGAGCAAGACAACTATAGAAGCGGTGATAAGAAAGAGGAATTTTTAGATCGTGTGGGTTTATGCGTTACCAAAAGCTCGCTATGTCTCTCTTTAGGACGACCCCCAAACAGTTTCGAAAAATATCGACATTCTTCAGGGTACACGCAAACCCTTGTTGGGATTAGTTACAGTGTTGTAATTGCCTGATGATGAGTAATCGAAAACGCACGTCCACCAAACTCGGCCGTTTGAATGCTTATATGGGTATCATCGTTAATCTTAAAAAGTTTAAGTTCAGGAAGACTTTTGTCCGCTTTTTATGACCGACAGTGCTCAACTAGAAGAAATACTGAACAAACTATAGTATGACTAACCCATTCTAGATAAACATTATTTGCAAAATGTTTTTGGCATTAAAATCGCGTCTATAGTATTTTAAGATGGGCTGATTGGATAAGGCAAACCCCAAGAAACCAAGTTATGCACTCTAATAAAGAAGCCTGGCACCAGGTGCGCGCTTCTATAGTTTACCGCATACGCTATACGTCTAAATGCCGAAAGATTCGGGGTCCAGATATGTTTGGTCCATGAACCAGCCCCCTCTTCTTTTTCCTTACGTTTGGGAAATCACGAACGCGGTACATATACGTATACAGTAAGGCTTTTCGTGCCATGAAACGCTTTTAGCTCATGTTTCTGCTATTTCAATTAAATGAAAAATGCACTAGGTAATTCTTTGCAAAAATGTGATACTAGAAAACTGCGAATGACTGCTAATAAGTTTATGATAGTGAATTTACTTACGGGGATAAGTACAAAAGAGAGTGAAAATGGAGAGGCAAGAGCACACCAAAATTTCCTAATCTGGCGGTAACTAGCGTAATTAGATGAACAAAATAAGCAAGTGATTTAGTATTCCACCCGTTAAATATGGGCTTTCTTTCTTCTTCCTGTGAGTAGTCTGTTCGAAAAAGCTCACACTTGTCGTGATAGTCAGTATTTATATACCTACTGCACCGCTGGATGTCTCTCGCATTAAACCTGATTCTGCCAAAAAGCTTAGGTGGATCTAGGGCCCTTGTATATGATCGGCAGCTCAAATAACGTAAGATTTGTATATAGCACATGGAACGTTCCATCGAAATCCCTTTTATAATTTAACTGGAGCCATACAGTATTAAGTCATAAGGGGAAGCTTATCCACTGTTTTGAAAGCCATACTACGATCAAGGAATACTTTCAAAATATCACATTTTAACGCATTATATCTGAGAACGACGCTGCGGTCGTAGCAATATACTCAGCCCTTCAAAAAAACCTTGTTAGTTTGACCATACCTCACGTATCATAATGAGGCTCCTGACAAGTTCGTTCATCGCCTGCGACAATTTTTAAGTTCAATTCCTCTGGTTCCGTCTCGAACCTTAAACTCATGTTTTTTCGTTTAACCGGATGCATGGGCCGTTAAAATCAGTATACTAAGGGAACTTCTGAGCATCAGAGGTAAGATTTCACACATAAATAAATAAAATTAATCTATATTTTATGCACTCAGAGGGCACTATGAAAACAAATGAAAATGTGTACTTTGGTGCTCCGTTTGAGCAGCCATATATACAGCAGAAATGACTAGTACGGTGGGCAGAGTATTTCACATCCCGCGGTGATTTTTCCTTGTAAGACAAAAGGGTAGGAATGATTAGTGAGGCCAATCCCAGGTTGGGAAGCCAAGGTCCTTCTGTCTTACGGGCACCTGGTAATAGGGAGTTATATGGGTGGGGCGGTAAACTGAGAAGTGTAGACGGCGATAATATGAAAATAATAATAGGAATAAGAGCCAAAAATGAACGTTTGTTTTAATGAAGAGT